TACATGTTAATAACTTGATTGGAATTATAACCTTGAATTGACAGTTTGATACTTTGAAAATTTTGAGCCAGCCCTACCCCCAAGGGCTGTAGGGTGGGGCTCAAAGGAGTCAGTGTGCTAAAATTTCTTCATTTTCCTTGTTAAGAATCAGAGGTGCTAGTTTCAAATCCTTTTTAGTCTGAAATCTGTATGCTAGATATTGAGTAAGGTGGTTTTATTGTTTTTTGTCACTTTGAATAATATTTCTGTTCATGTTAAAAACAAAATCAACTCTCTGTATAAATATATCAGGTGACCGTTAAGGCCCATGGGCCTCTTGTTTGGATTTGTCACTGGATTCAACTATTTTCATTACTTATTATTACCCATGCGAAATACACCTACAATGTATCATAGTGTTGATTTGTAGGGTAGAGGTGTCGTTAGGCCTTGTATGGAAATAATGTGTTGCGAAATACTCTGCCATATTTGGCAGTTCATTGCACATCAATCTTGCAGTCGGTTTACAGCAGCATGTAGAAACCTCACTAAAACCAATGTAATGATAATAATGACTTTTTTTTTATTTTCCGCCTCTATGTGATACAGTGTCATATTTGGAGTATTGTATCTACTTTATTGTATATTACCTAATATTAATGGTGTAGTCACCTGTAGGTGTGTTACCTTTATTATCTATAGTAAAACACATGCGTGTAACACTTTAAGCCGATTAAAGTCTGGTTTAGCCTTGGTAAGTCTCATATCCAGGAATGCCAGAACACTGTTAATTGGATTACAGCATTCCCAAGATTTAAAAAAGAAAGTTAAAATAATGATGAACTATAACAAAATATTGTTAAGAAGAATACGATATGCACATATTTTTCAAGGGCATTGGTAATGATAAGAGAATATTGCAAAAAAGACCCAAATATTGGGAGTGATTTTTCAAAAGGCTATAAGCCTTCTCTGATTCGTCTCAGGTTGAACATCCTCGCATGTCTATGGAGATAGCGTTGAATAGAAAGAGAAGGAAGGAGAGAAAAGATAAACATAAATCCCGATAGTGGGCAATAGAATAGTTGGAATTTATATATCTAGTCTGTCCCTGGGTTTAATCGTGCGGTGAGTACCTAGCGTTATCCTTTAATGCATTGAGAAGTCAACATCATTGTTAATCAGCCTTCTATTGAGTACCCAGACAAAGGTTATACAGAAATGATTATACAAATCAGCATCAAAAACGACAAAAACGCACACAGACACTAGATTTTATTGTGGTACTATACTGCGTGTCTATCATACAGAAAATGAACACTCTTTGTGGATTACAAACGGAGATGTTTTAACATTAAGATGAGAAATCAAAGCTTGACGCTATATTCTGTGATAACTCTTTTCTCACGCACGCTATAGATGATGATGTACAATGTACGTAAGTGAACTGATGTAAATGATCACATCCAGCTGCCTTGTTTAAGCTGCATATATAATCAGTGCTAATGCACCGAAGTTAAGCCATTTGAGGAGAACACTATTCCATCTGACAAGGGCGCCATTAAGACAAAACAACAAATTCTTATGACTGAACAAAACAGAAATTCGAATTAAGAGCGATTTCACTAAACGCTTGTCATCATAAATTGTGTGTTAATTGTCTCTCTCTCTCTCTATATATATATATAAATAAAGCAAAACACGAAGACTAGTATAATCGGCTTATATATATATATATATATATATAGCGATAATTAGTTTTTAAATGTCAATGTGACGGTAAAAATATAAATAAATCAAAACACGAAGACTAGTATAATCGGCTAGCGCTTTCGCCCATCTTGGGGCTCTTCAGGCAATTTGTGAATTTATTTGTGACGTCATAAATAGAGTACACATAATGTATACAAAATAATGTTAGTCAAATGATGTATTATAATTATAGGGCCGCTCATTTTTATTAATCTAAGTTGCAGTTTAAGTGACGACCTCATTTGTTTCTAAATTTGCCACATATATATATTAGTCATCTCAATTACAGTAATATGACCTTCGCTTGTTTTGTCGAAACATTATTGATATATACCTGTAACCTTTCCGGACCCAGACACCTTAAGAAGGAGCGAGACCTACAGAACATGGCCTGGATGATTAGGTATGACGACATAAACTTCCACGCCGATGGCTACAGTATGTCGGTAGGATCGGTGGTGAGTAGGCTTTATTTTAATTAAATAGTAATTAATTAATTAAAAAAAGCGAAGGAAGACTAGGTCGATCATCGGCGACCAGATTCGTAGAGCGTCCGTCTAAGATTGAAAGGTAAGGGGTTCAAACCCCAGTATGGCCGTACATTTTCCCACTCCTACTACATTTGGCGCCCAACGAAATATACCCATGGAAGGTAGTATATGGTCTAGTGTGTCTTCGAGGTCGAAGACTGTGTTAAAGGAGGGAGAAATGTAGCGGAACTAGACTGGGTCGATCGTTGGCAACTAGGTAGCTCAAATGGTAGGGCGTCCATCTAGAGTTCGGGGGGTTTCGGGTTCGAACCCCGGTCTGGCCGTGCATCTTTCCGCTCCTACTACATCAGTATGAAAATTGTGGCCTACAATCAAAGTAATGTCGATTTACATCCTAGCTGAAGGTCAACCTGATGTTACACCTGATTGGATATATGTCATTATTTTGTATGATACGACATTTTAATTTATTGCCTGTCACAGAATAATGCCGCAAATAGAACAAACTCGTCCTTGACTATTTTAAATCACTGACACGTCATGTAAATCATTGTGTGTCATATGTACTGTATTATAAAAAGTCTAGAGAATGCTTTCATGGAAACAAAACCGTTATTCGAATTCAAAATCGAGGGATGAAAGAAGGACAGAATATGAATAAAGTGAATCCAAACAACTTCAATTAGGAAGAAGCAGTATGATCTTCAAGAGCCAAATGCGTTTTTGATAAAGAAGTCCATGGAACGGTATATACAACATGATATGGCTAAGGTGAAATTTTCAATAGACCTGTTCAAAAATGTTCAATAGAAGCAAAGTTATTTTAATGACTTAAAACTTTATCGGTGACTTGGGAACTTGACCATGGCATTGTTGCACGTCACGACTGTATTCTGTGACAACTAATAATTGACATTCGAAAGAATCTGGATTCTCTTCTGCGTCTTAGAGGACATTAATGAAACCAAATTACTTCCATCAGTTTTTTTAACTCAATAACATAGTATTGCACAGCAAATTAAACAATCAATCTATTCACAGTGTCTCTATGACTGTGTTCCTTTATTTATTTTATATATTTTATATAACTGTAAGTAATAAATACTGTAAAACTGGACATAGTATATCTCTGTTTATTTTTGCATTCTATGCCATTGCTATGAAGGGCGATTTAATCTAAGAGCGACATACATTATGTTAATTGTGTGTAGTTATCAATACATGGTAAGTAAACCTGGACCAATTCTTTAATATGTTTTGTTTACCTACTTATTGTCTAATTTCCAATTAATTCCCGTTGTTTACCTACTTATTGTCTAATTTCCCATTAATTCCCGTTGTTTACCTAATTATTGTCTAATTTCCAATTAATTCCCGTTGTAGCCCAGCTATATTGACTCATCTATGTCCCAGAGGTCCTCTCGATTTAATGCTGACCTGGCCGGGATACAATGGTTAGCTGGATTCGCTACATATATGGTGAAGTTGCGAGAGGCTATATACATTTATTTATTTATAATATTTCGTAAAGTTTTTGTTTTTATGTTCGATGCCATTTTCATTTTTTTCTTTATGGTGCATGACGTTTTACACTCGATCATTTTGAATCAATTTTTCATATGTTGTTTTCTTTTTGATTTGTTGACCTGATGTTGTTGATTTGAAACATCCCTTTCGAAGAATTTGTTAGTAATTTTAAGTATCTTTGCACCGCGAATTGAAATTATCTCCTTACTGATGACAAGAGCCATATTTTGTTACAATTACAACATCATTTTTATTTCCAAGTGTTTACTATGCTAAAAGAAGTCTTCAGATTGTCTGAGATCAATGGTAACAGACAGCCTTTGTAACGTTTGAGTACTTCACCATGAAAGGTACCTCAGAGGTTGCAGTAAGCCTTTACCGTCCCAGAGTACGTCGTTTCAACTTTGTGTGGTAATAATAAGTAGTAAGGTGGGAGGGGGTGTTGAGGGGAGGGGCGGCATGAATTAGCAGCATTTTTGTCCGATGTTCGACTAATGTAGGTAAGAGGATGCAGGTTCCATATCCAACATGTCTACATGTGACATAAGTCATTAGACATTTCATAGTTTTGATAGTACATCTGTTAACACTGCGGTAGGGCTTGCACCCATTTGTTGACGCTTTTGTATATTTAATTTTTGTTGTGTTGACGTTGTGCTTTATTTTGTTCTATGTCTTGATACTGTTATGTACATTGTATAACGTATTTTGGAATTGTGTTGACATGGTTGTATACTTCGTATTTTTGTGTTGACAGTGTGATTTATTTTGTTCTTGTGTGTAGACGTTTGATATTGATGTTAAAGCTCAGATGTTCATTTTTATAACATAACCAATATTTATAACGTTTCTATACTTTAAACAGTCATTGTTCTGCAGAAAACACGTGCATACATACATACGAGCGATAACATATAATAAGGCACTTTCACAAGTGACTACAGCAAAAGTTAGTTATCTAAAGGGCCTGTCACACACTACCGATATTCTTCGCCGGGACTAAACCGGAGCAAAACATTAACAACGTCAAAAAAATCGGCAGAGCTCCGGCGAGAAAGCACTTGAAAAATCTAAATCGACGGTAGCAATACCGATGTAGTTTCGGCGTTCTCGTTGTGATACCGTTGTTCTACAGATGTAAGAGCCGATGTGCTACCGATGTGCCACCGTTGACCGGTGCTATAGCAGAGTGATACCGTAGCGCTGCCGATGTTACATAAGTACATCATTACTACTTCGGCGGTATTCGGTAGAACTATGGTATCACATCGGTACCAGTACGGTACACATTGAGCCCACCGGAGAGCCGCCGATCCTTTAAAAGGCGCTAACGGTGCTCTATGGACATTAATGAAGTCTTACCGGAGTACTGCCGATGTACTGCCGTTTAAGTCCCATTGCTCGCTCCGGCAGCGCAACGGCGGACATATTTGAGCATGTTTACAAATTTCTACCGTCGCCAGCTGACGTTGTTAATTTTTCGCCGATGTTCTGACGATGTCCTGACGATGTACTACCTACCGTTCTTAGCGATGTGATACCGTTGCGCTGCCGTACTAGTACCGATCCCCACATATCGCCAAATTTGTGCTCCGGTATAGCTCCGGCGACCCAAATCGGCTTGTTGTGACAGGCCCTCAATATATAATTGTATATATTGAGACACGTTGACCTCGGGTAAACGTTCTCCCATATCACCCTCCATTATGAGGGCATGTTTAATATCTCAGCGATTATAAGTTCATGGTATGCCTACTGCGCAATTAACACCAGGCTGATAAGGTTTCAATAGTGAAGATCGGCAATGTGACTGCGAAATTTTCTCTCCAAGTACTGATAATGATTCACGAGATATCAGTTATACACAATTATTGTTTCTACTAATATTAATTTAGTTAATGATTCCTTACGCCTAATACAAAATTTTATTACATATAAATTGTTACGTAAATATTGCTATCCTTCATTACGTGTAACAACTAGTTATTAAAGTAGATGTATCTAAAATGTGAAATATGTGGTTATATATGTTCTTCTCCCATGTTGTTCGAAATGTAATGCTCTTTGCCGACTTGCGTACTGCCTTTACTTCACAATCGCCAATATCCATGAATAGCATATGACTTGGCAGGGATATTTCCCTGTGAGAAAGATAATCATAATAAGAGCTTTATTTAAGAAGATATTGCCAACCATCAAGCATTTCTTTACAATAAGATTGTTATGTAAAATGTGTGTAACTTTATATTTTCCTATGGCCAGGGGTCACCTGTGTCAGTCACAATGGTGAGACAGAAGAAGCTAGATCTGACGAGAAACGTACTGAAGGAACTGCAACAGGTGTGTTACTCAAGTACAGATTATCAGGATACATTAATATGACAAATATACTAATACACGTGTTCCCCACATTTCATCTCGTTACCAGTATTACATGCCATCGTTCTGGTGATAATTAGTTATGAATCACAGACTTATAAGTACGACTAGCACAACGACACACAATAACGAGTGATATGATAGGTGTTGTAACAAGTGTATGAGCGTTAAGGGTAGAAGTTTGAAGCGCTCCGCTAACATTGTATAGGTTTATTGTCCACTTCATGGGACTTGTTTGGAACTAGATTTTGTAATACTTAGGAAACAACAAGCAATCTTTAAAATACTTAATGTAATCAGAGCAAACAGTTTAAAAGAGATCACCATATCTTTTTAATTGCAATGTTATTATTTTTAAGCATTTGTTTGTAAAAAAACATTTCCCAACTTAAATGGCCGATATTGTACTGAGTGAGTATCTGTTGAAGGTGCGGTCCATGCCACACGAGAACCTGACCAGGCTGATAGGGGTCGGTGTAGAACCCAACAAAATCTGCATTGTCCATGAATTCTGCAGTAAGGGATGTATAGAGGTAATATTAAGTAGACACAAGCTGATAGGGGTCGGTGTAGAACCCAACAAAATCTGCATTGTCCATGAATTCTGCAGTAAGGGATATATAGAGGTAATACTAAGTAGACACAAGCTGATAGGGGTCGGTGTAGAACCCAACAAAATCTGTATTGTCCATAAATTCTGCAGTAAGGGATGTATAGCGGTAATACTAAGTAGACACAAGCTGATAGGGGTGGGTGTAGAACCCAACAAAATCTGTATTGTCCACGAATTCTGCAGTAAGGGGTGTATAGAGGTAATACTAAGTAGACACGAGCTGATAGGGGTCGGTGTAGAAGCCAACAAAATCTGTATTGTCCATTAATTCAGCAGTAAGGGGTGTATAGAGGTAATACTAAGGAGACACAAGCTGATAGGGCTGGGTGTAGAACCCAACAAATTCTGTATTGTCCATGAACTCTGCAGTGAGGGATGTATAGCGGTAATACTAAGTAGACCCAAGCTGATAGGGGTCGGTGTAGAACCCAAAATAAGCTGTATTGTCCATAAATTCTGCAGTGAGGTATGTATAGCGGTAATACTAAGTAGACACAAGCTGATAGGGGTCGGTGTAGAACCCAACAAAATCTGTATTGTCCATGAATTCTGCAGTAAGGGATGTATAGAGGTAATACTAAGTAGACACAAGTTGATAGGGGTACGTGTAGAACCCAACAAAATCTGTATTGTCCATGAATTCTGCAGTAAGGGGTGTATAGAGGTAATACTAAGTAGACACAAGCTGATAAGGGTCGGTGTAGAACCCAACAAAATCTGTATTGTCCATTAATTCAGCAGTAAGGGGTGTATATAGGTAATACTAAGTAGACACAAGCTTTGTACACCAATTAATGCAATTAGAATTCTTATTACTGTAACGTAGCATAAAATATAACGTAGAGGATCTTTTTCATCGGGTTTAAATGAATAAAGTCGTTAATAAAAAAAGATAATTGATTCTCACAAAAGCCATAGCAAACCCTTTGTTTTATAGTTTTAAATTTTGTTTTATTAATATTTATGAATATATAGAAGTATTAGGTCACTCTCTTTTTAAGTTTTGATTTATTTGTTCCAGGATGTATTAGAGAACGACAATATCAAACTGGACATATCATTTAAAATGTCCATTCTAAAGGATATAGCTGCGGTAAGTACTTCCATCGGATGTTTCGTTACTTGTTCTTCCGAATCCGGCATTTTAAGCAATTTTATTTTATGTTACTTGTGACCATGAATTATTATAAACTTATTGCTTTTAAAAAAAATCAATCTTCAGGTTGGTAAATATGGATTGTGAAAACATTCATGTAACACAACCAATAAGTGTTTATGTGTGTCGTTGCGATGGCTAGTACGGTGTGTACTCTGTCACCTTCATCAGACACATGACCAGTGAAGCGTGCGAGTTGTCTACGCAAATTGATGTCGATTCGGCTACGCTGTAAGCGTATGTACAATTAATTGTTATATATGTACCGAAATGACTCGATTCGGCTACGCTTTGTTTAATACTTGGTCATGCATGTAGATGTGCGAGAGTCTATGACTTAGATTTAGAACTGGCCTACTGCGGCGTATCCAGATGGTTTCCTTTATCTGCCGCTTGAACACACCGCTCTCTGTGTGTCCAATACCTTGGAGTTATCCCAGTCAGTCAAAATCTTGTCTTGGACAACATGCCATGTGAATGCTTTGCTCATACGTTCCATCTCTGTGGCGAAAAGCGTATGCTATTGTAACAACATGTCTGTTATTTCGTCTTACAATTTGTTTCTACTCCAGATCATATTGATATATGTTTCCTAATACTTGATGCATAACATAGGAAGACATTTGAACCTAGGAGGAATGTGAGCACATTTCAACATTTGTTAGATAAGACTTCATTTACAACCAAGTATTTCAGTGACGGACAGTGTCAAAGAAATATCAACTTGGCGACTGGACTGAATTTATCCTGATTAATCCTGTCATATAGGTCCCGCCTATAGAGAAGGAACCTGGTTTACCGTCAGTAAAACCTGTTTACCGTTAGTACAACCTGATTTACTGCCAGTAATTTTGAGTGGATAGTGTGATGCGGGAGACACCTTATACCTATTCTTCATTTCGAACTGGCTTTGGTTTCTGATCTTCGTGTTTTAACATCATGGTATATTGATTGATCTATTTCTTTTACCTGACACTATTACAGGGGATGTCGTTTATACAGTCGTCATGCCTCAAGGACCACGGTCATCTTACGTCAAAATGTTGTATGGTGGACAGTCGGTTTGTGGTCAAGATAACGGACTACGGCCTCTCAACCCTCTACTTGAATGCAAGACAGACACATTATGCCCAAGGTTAGTTTTCGCGCAGTAATGTAGTTGTTTTTATATCTCCGATGACATTCAGACGTCTGAAAGAAAATATAATGTGACATCATAAATGTAACTCTGGGGAATGCCTGGATAAATCAACTCTGTGATAAATACTAAATATTTCAAGTTTGTGTGTGCAAGATAAGTCATATTACAAGCGAGGATAACGGTTAAACGATCATTGCGTAAGCAATACACATGTTCGGGTCAAATGTATACTATACAGTATCCTGATTCTAACCATGACTCCATTTTTGAAACGTCATTTATTCAGAGTGTAGCATTATATGCTGTCGATTAAACCTATTTTGCTTTAAAAAGCAATGGATTCGTGAGTTAATTTAATTTTGAATATCAGCGAAATTTCTGTCATTTATAGACGTGGCCTCTCATGGTAAAATCTAATTTGTCTTTTTATATCACCGATTCTAACGCAAATAACTATAACTAAAAATATTTCAAACCAATCATTGCATTTTATTCACTAACGACTGCAATGGAGATGGCATGGATCCCCCTTTTACGGTTTCTAGTCTTTTGCAGAAGTCAACAAGCGTATATCAAATAATTAATTCGTCCTTGTACAATGTAGTCTTTTCATGTGGTGATAAGTACAGCACACTTAATGGAAGTTTGTTTCACTAAATAGAGTATCTCTCCATTTTGTTTCTAATTGCAAACAACTACTATTTCAAACTTACCTCTCAGTTACCAAAACAACTCCAATACTTGTGTATGCTTACACGATTTAGAAAAGAGATTCTTTTATACAGTATAGCACATTATGTCACAGTAGTCTTTCATAATAACATACATTGTTCAAACCGTATTCTAGTACAATCTGAAACACAACCCAAATTGTGCATACAGTTATCCAGAGCATGCTGATAGATAAATTTAATTGTTATATGCTAAAGTTTTAGTCACACTGCACGTACGTAGTCTATTTTATAAAATTGAATTTGTATTAACCGAAATCTGGTATAAAACAATCGGTATACATACTGTACTCTAGGAGTAAAGATATTTGTCTTGTACATAAACACACATTGCACTTCCCGTAATCCAGTATATGAAAACAGATTGTGCAAATTGTACATGTGGTAATCTTATATATAAACACAGGTTACAATATCTGAATCAGTTTTAAGGGAAAACTTACGCCACAAACTATCGAGGAAAGCATCGATTGATGTTTTATTGGATTGTGTATTTTGTAATGGTAACGCCTTTGATATCCTTTATATATCATTTATACAGAATTATGGGTGGCACCGGAACATCTACGTGATGGAGGACACAGTATCAAGGGGGATGTTTTCAGTTTCGCCATCATAACGGTGGAAGTCCTCACCCGTTCAACGCCCTACGACGCCTACAGAACTGTCATGGACGTGCAAGGTGAAACGTCAATAACAGTACATGTCAGTAACAGTACAATAACAGAACACGTCAATAACAGTGCACGTCAATAACAGTACAATAACAGTACAATAACAGTACACGTCAATACATGTGACAGTAGAATAACAGTACACGTCAATAACAGTACAATAACAGTACACCTTAATAACAGTACAATACAAAAATGTAACAGTACAATAACAGTACACATCAATAACAGTACACATCAATAACAGTACAATGACAGTGCACGTCAATAACAGAACAATAACAGTACACGTTAATAACAGTACAATAACAATACACGTCAATAACAGAACAATAACAGTACACGTCAATAACAGTACAATACAATAATGTAACAGTACAATAACAGTACACGTCAATAACAGTACAATAACAGTACACGTCAATAACAGTACACGTTAATAGCAGTACATGTCAGTCTGTATTGTCGATATACTTATATACTTATATAGGACTGACTTACATAATCATATTGTAGCTACTATACACTACTAATTCCTTTGTCTTTATGTGATAATCGTATTAGAAAACAATCATATATTTTACTTGTGAGTACGCATTTGTTGAAATTAATACTGCATAATTATATGCTGCATTTTATAGCATGGATCTTTTAGGAAGACTTGTATCTCTTTGTATTAGCTTATACTTATTCACAAAAAACGTGATGTGATGTCCACTGATAACTGTTCTCTCAAATCTCCCTTTAAAACTGTCTAGTGTTGGAGGCGTCAATTTACTGTTCCCTATAACACCATGTTTCTACAAATATTCTTTGACCGTTTTCATTGACGTCATGTCTAGGCTATTGCAATATTCATAATTCCAGCTCAAGAGAGTGTCAAGGGTAGTAATTAACACGTGCAAGATAATAAACTGTTCGTACAAGATAATAATCTGTACGTACAAGATAATAAGCTGCACGTACAAGAAAATAAGTTATACGCACAAGATATATTTTTTTATACTGGTCCTAAAACGCCATCATAAAACGACACTGAATAGAAGGAATTTATAACCTGTCTGATATGATATACATCTACTTTATATGTAGTTTGTTCATGCCATAATGTCATTTTAAGAATGGTATCTAATCACTAATCATATGAATGGCTTGCATTTGTTTTCAGTATGCAGTATTGTTTTGAAATCATACAGGTGCTTAGTAATTAAAACAGTAATTGTAGTTGTTTAATCAAGGTAGCTTTACCCCAAATACAAATGAGGTTTGTATTAGTGAAACACACTTGAATAGAAACGACAAAACTGTCTCCTCTAATACTGATTTAATAGTGGTACACACTTTTTTACAGAGATAGTAGACAAAATAAAAGAGAGAGATGAACCCCTGTTTCGTCCGATCCTCCCGAAAGATCGTGGTCCTATCGAACTGCTCGATCTGCTCACACGATGCTGGGCGGAGGACCCGGAGGACCGTCCGGATTTCCATGGTATCGCTAGATCACTGCGCAAAATGATGGGGTATGTATCCAGCTTGTCGTACCCACCGCGTCGTAGCCAAAGAAATAAACGGAATTAATGTGTGAATTATTTGCTAGTTAAAAACAAAGAAAGAAATTATAAAAATATTAACAATGGTGAAGGCCCAGATGTATACCAGCACTCTTTGTTCGTTTTAATACGGACATTCGCACACATTGGTCTGTGGTGGTATATTTGCACATGGATATTTTTTATAGTTTCATTTCAGAACAAAGGCATTGGGCAACAGACAAAGCCTTATAGCAATTAAAAGTTATATACATCCTATTGTAGTAACGATATTTCTTTGACGACTGTTGGTACAGACACTAGATTACACAAACATCAGCCAAATGGTGCTGGTGGACAGCACATACTAAACGTACAATTATGTGCTAGTATCACTCCAAACAGGAAAGTCATTTGATATTTAAATAAGTGTTATCTAGTAAAAGCGTCTCGTATCTTTAATGAACCTGTGAACACTCTCCAAAACACTTCTATTCATATTGATATCGAGTCTTTCACATCCATAAACAAAGTGTCTGAGTATTTAATGGGATAGTATTATTAAGAGCAGACATGGAGTTCAGGAGAAGTTGCTTTCAATTAGTATACAGAGATAGTCCATGACTTATTATTATGGTTTTCCTTTAAGGACGAAACATACGAACTTCGTCGACATGCTGTTACAGAGGATGGAGAAGTACGCTACGAATCTAGAGGATATTGTTGAGGAGCGCACGCAGCAACTTCTGGTGGAGAAGAAACGCTCAGAGGAACTGTTACATGAGATTCTCCCAAAGTAAGTAAACCCTGCCGTTCTTAGCTTTCTTAACTTACAAGTATTTTTATCATTGTATGAGATATGGACATTCAGAAAATTGAACTGTTCTGAATATCAAAACAATAGGAGAATACATACATTTAAATGTCCGAGCTAAACCGAAATTCTTACCCAACATCGATGTCACTTAGGCACAATCTAAATGAAGATCAATGAAAATGTCCAAGAAGCGTATAACAAGCGTTCCATAAAGATTGTATAAGTGAAGGGGCACATACCTTACAAACGTTACTGCTTGTTCCGAACAGGAAATTCCGTATTGATCACCAAACCCATTAGCCATTATGTGACACTTGATGACCTTAATTTCACTATCGTTAACTAACCGTTTATCAACAGCAACATGTAAGCTTTACCTAATGATTAAGTTGTCACATGTTACAATTGTTTAGTTGATTTTTATTAAATTTCAAACCCTGGAGGATAAATAAGATAAAAGTAATCGAAGAAGGATTTTTTTATTAAAAAACAATAGCATTCGAATTATTTGAATGCAAAATAAAACGTGTAAGAATATTTTCAACTCCTTTCTGCAACTCGGTTTGTATAATCCTTTGAAGTATGATATAATCCTGTCATTGTTACAGAAGCGTGGCCAGAGATTTACTTCAGGGTCGACACGTGATGCCGGAAAGCTACAGTTCAGTCACCATCTACTTCAGCGACCTGGTAGACTTCGCATCCTTGTGCTCAGAACTGACAGCGTTACAGGTACTTACATTGATGCGGTTGTTTTCTTCAATTTAGTTTAGAAATTATTAAAATTATTTCAGAAATACAATGCATGATACATGAGTCAAATATACCTTCCTCACGCTAATAACATATCGGTAAGATGCATAGCGATAAAAGCCACCAACGAATACTGCGGTATGTACAACGGCTGAAGTTAATATTATAGTGTTGAGGCTAACGTTTCGAGGGGAATATAGTGTTGAGGATTACACTATTAAAGCATCAAAATGGGCAGTGAAAACGAGATGTAAATAGAAAGACATCATCTCAAGTAACAACATTCACTATGGACGTGGTATATAATGTCCAAATAACTTGGTTTACACATCTGTAACATCAGAGGCGTGTATTGTTAATTACCATGTCTGTGTAACGTCCATAGGCAGCTGCAGTGCTCGACGATCGAATAAAGTATCGCTTATAGAAATTCAGACGTAACAAATTTTCGCTTACAATTTATTCATATAAGAATGCAGATGTGTTGATGACAATTCTATGTAATTTTGAAGAGTTTATGGTACGTTCCAATTGCTTTTATGTTGTAAAATATTTAAACTGAACAACCTAAAAACAATGTTTTTCAAAAGACAATAGTCTATTCCTGCTGTTAGCTTAGATCACAACCATGTTTGCTGATAACGAAATGTTCAACGTGTTTTATTTTGAGTCAGCCCGAGAGTGTAACGCCCAATTTGTCTGTAGCCGCCATACGTTTTCAAACAGCGAGTTATGTAATCAGTTATTTGCTCTTTACATTAATAAATAAAAACATAGACATTTATTATCTTCATTTTTATGCCATTATGGTAAGAATATATTTTGCTTATGGTTTGAATTGATGTGAAATACTATTGGTATTGTTATACCTTGTAGGTGATTGACATCCTTAATGAGGTGTATACACTGTTTGATAATACCATAGACAAGTACAATGTTTACAAGGTGAGTCGGGGAATGGATTAGTATTCAATTAGGTTTCACAAGTCTTATCGAGGAAACATTTGAACAATTTCTTTCATCATGAACCCTTTAATCGTTTATGTCATATGTACAACCATCTGTTTATACCAAACACCTACATTGCTTTCAAGAGACAATCATGTTCGCGTGCATTCGCGAGGAGACGTTTTCGTGAATTTGGATCTTCCAAAGAAAAAAAGTATCCACACGAAAATAAAAAGTGTTACAAATTTTACTATTTGAGTCTGAATTGCCTGACCATTTGTTCTTTTTCTGTAATCATTGTGTGTTAGTTTTGATTTATGGAAGTCAAATTTTATGTAATCCCTTCTGTTTAGGATATTTGGAAATAACCTGAACATTCGTAGTTTTAAAATCAAAGTAGTTCCTCTTATTACCAGTTTTATTTAATGTTTGTTTAAAAATACTTTATCAACAAAAATATGAAACGAACTTTTTCCTAATCAGGCACCAAACTTAATATAGAGCTCTCAAGATGTATACACTCATGTATTGGGGAAAAAACTCCTTTAGATAGGTCATGGTCGTGTTATGTTAATGAAGATAACTTGTATTCTAAAAATTGTAGCCGAATCGACATATCTTTTGGTTTAGGGGGGTTTGTTTTATATTTAAATAAATCCATTCAACTTAACAATTGATCCAGAATGTATAGTTTGAGTTGCTGAACTACTCCCTATATTATTGACCAAAGGGATGAAAATGCGTTTGATAACACCTGAAATATTTGTTCACTAGGTTGAAACCATTGGGGATGCTTATATGGTGGCGTCCGGTCTTCCTATAAGGAATGGCACACAACACGTGACGGAAATCTGTCGTATGGCCCTTGATCTCCTTGACCGGATATCTAGTCATGAGTTAAAACATAACGTCGTGGACAAAGTGAAATTACGTATCGGCATACATACAGGTTGGTAAAATATACTGGCATACATAAAGGTAAGTAAATAAACTGACATACATTCAGCTAAGTAAAATATACTGTCATACAAACCGGTTGGTAAAATATACTGTCATACATAGAGGAAGTAATGTAACGCCATACATACAGGTAAGTAAAATGTACTACCTTACACACAGGTATGTAAATTATACTGCCATACATACATGTTAGTAAAATGTAATATCATACATACAGGTAACATACAGGTTGGTAAAATATACTGACATACAAACAGACAAGTAAAAATGCACTGCTATACATACAGATTAGTAAAATTCAATATCACACATACAGGTTAGTAAAATATACTGCCATACATACAGGTTAGTAAAATGTTCTATCATACACACAGGTTATTTAAATATACTGCTATACATACTGGTTAGAAAAATATACTGCCATACATGCAGGTTAGTAAAAATGTACTGCCATACATACAGGTAAGTTAAATATATTATCATTCATAAAGATTATTTAAATGTGTCACACATGCAGGTTAGTAAAATGTAATGCCATACATACAAGTTAGTAATATATACAGACTGATTGCTATTTCTGTTATCACTAAGAACTTGAGCACATGTTATCGCCTTTTTCCTATTAAAACACGTTAATATTGTATCTGCGTTCTAGGTCCTTGTGTAACAGGTGTGATAGGACTAAAGATGCCAAGATATTGCCTGTTTGGTGACACTGTCAACACCGCTTCCAGGATGGAATCAACAGGCGCTGGTAAGTTATGAAGATTAACGTTTTACTATGGTATAGCACAGAAAGACTGCGGTAAATACTAAACTTTGACGATTTGTCACAGTAATGGAAACCGAAACAGACTGGAAAGGACTACTGAATAACGATGTTTTACAGTAATAGAAACGATAGTACTGTTGAGGTATTGCAGTTGATAAATTATACCTAATAGGAGCTCGTGGTGACCTTTATTGATTTTTAAAACGTCCAATAATAAACAGGTGTTTGGAAGAGCCAGCAGAGGACATTTTGCACCAATTCTGGTTAATAGTGAACTGGCGGGAAAGATTGTTTAAGTTTGATACACAATAATGCTTAGTGGGGTACCATCTTTTCATATAATGTCATTATATTTCGGTATTATTACCGGAACAGTTAAAAGCTATAAAACACAGTCTATTTTATAAGATTGGTTATTTGAAACGTTTTTCAGTTTTTCAATTTTAACAAATTGACTCGATAGCGAGAACACAATCCTGATCTTTGACTTAGTATCATTGTATTAGTAACAGTTTGACCCCTTACCTTTCCACAATTTATATGTAAGTTTGAAATACGCTACGTTTTGTGAATTTGGAACTTTGACAACTTCAATCTTTTCAAACGTTTCAAATCCGAGGTCATGGCCATCATCCTGAATTGCAAATCAGCTTAAAAATGTTGACAACGTCAGACTATAATTTGCTTTGATAAAGTTTATCTATTACTCTGTAGGAGTTTTGACCTGAATTTCATGTGAAGCACATTTTAAACAATTAACTCATTAGATTAAATTTTCTTCAACAAACAAATATGATGTGTATATATAGAACTCGTTTGTTTGTTCTTAGAAAACCTCAATATTTTTAATGAAACAAGCAATAACTAAGTAACACACGCATACAAATGGAGCTTATTCCACACGAATACGGAGAACTAGGTCAAATGTACTGAAAATAAATACAGATTTTACCGATGATTTCAGAATAATGATGTTTTAATTTGACGCGGTTTACGCAATTAAACATTATTAAAAACATTTGTTTTCCTCGACAGTGATTTCTTGAAAATGAAAACTGAAAATGTGATTAATAACGAGATGCACGATGTAGCCATAAAACAAAATGTTCATTCACCTATTTTTTCGTAGTCACATGATAAACACCTGCATTATTGCGTATAATGAATTTGTCTGTTTAAATTGACATCCTGATGTTGCATTGAATGCACACATTAGCGATATAACCATGTAAAAGCGCTATATACATGTCACGTTCATAGCATTTGTGACGTTTCGTTGTAGCGCTGAAGATACACATAAGCGATGCAACCAAGAAAGCTACAGACGACATGGGCTTGTTCAAGGTGGAATGTCGCGGGGATATTAACGACAAGGTACAGAGTCTTTTTTCGTATCCTAAATTCAAACTTACTACAGCTATAATTAGAAAGAATAGTTCTGAAATAAAGTATTCACTCTGGTGCCGTGGACTAAGATTAGACATATCTGGTGTCGGGTAGCTTGACGAAGGATAAAAGTAAATGAATTGTCCATTCCTATTTTCGTATCCCTTCCTATCCATTGCTATTACTTGAGTATTCTACATTTCTATATATACCTTTGTTAACCACCTTTGTATTTGCAGGGGAAAGGTACTATGACAACTTTTTGGTTACTGGAGGAACTGACGCCAATCATGTCCTAAAAACTGTTCCCGAGGATTCAATAAATGCTATCTACGGAGGAGCATTGGGTTCGACTGATGTTCTCGAATCGCAACAATATCCATTCTTGTTAGGAAATTATGTTGAAAGGACATACAGTACCATGATCCAACAAAGGTCACCAACGTATCATCGTCAGTAGTTCATTTTCTTTTCCGCTATACTGTGTATGTACGAAAGAATGTACTAAAGGTCCCAAGTACCACTTCAAAAAAAAAACTGCTTTTTGTTGGAAAACATTCTGGAGTGACTATAGCTTTGATGAATCATTTCTAATAAAGAAATGTAAACCTTGCGGAACTTTTAGGAAAAAATGAAAAGAATGAACAACAGTGTATAAAGTGTTCACATGCAATGGAACCAGACTAAGGTTCTAAACCTTATTTCATCCTGATACTGTCGCTTTTACCATTGAAGATACCTGGTCAATTGGGAGGTTACTTTTTGTACGCGAAATTACAGTGGAGTTCTCTAGTATTTTGCTTGCAGTGGGTCAGTGATCCTGAATCAAGGAGATATATATATATTGTGAGTGTGACATTGTGAATAGTGAAACCCTGTCCAAGATAGACGACTTGATCTGTGATAGTTGTGTTGTTCCGTTTACTGTTACTGATGGTATATGTTAAGTGCAATATTTGATCTTCGAGTCACCGTATTGTTTTATTAATTTTGATACTAACTGTATTCAATAACATAAAAATGTATTTATTAATGAAGTGAAATAACATACACAATATAGAGAATAATACATGCCTTTTTCCATATCACACCCAGTATCAACCCGAGACTGCAATATCAGCCCAAGGGCCGAAGGCCCGAGGGCTGATATTGGTCGGGGGTTGATACTGGGTGTGATGTGGAAAAAGGAGTGTTTTATTCTGTTTATTACATACTTACTAAAAAAAACTACTATCTTATGATTTATTTATATTTTTGAAATATTGAAAAACGATTTTGTTTCCAAAAGGGGTGTGATGTGGGTTTTGCGGGCTGATACGGGTTTTGGGGTGTGATACGGCGAGGGCTGATATTGGTTAGAGCAATTGTGTCGTATCGCACATACAAAAAACCCGTATTTATTAGTAAGTATGTAATAAAACACAATAAAAAATTATTTTACTAACTGATATTTTACTAACAAGAGGACCCTGTGGAAGATAAGCTTTGCTTAACAGGTTTTATCCTCAGAAAATAAAGAGTATTATTATTATTATTATCATTAAACACACAGGACTGACCGCAAGGCAGTACTGCCTCCTTGTGCTTTTTCAGGCCAAAGACAAGAGGACCGAAATAGTCCGTCTGAAGGAGCCAAAGAAGGCAGAAAGGCCTAGCGGTCAGTCTTGTGTGCTTGCTGAATTTACTTTATACTTTGCAATCAAGGACTTGTGTAATCTCGCCAGTTAAGACTTTTGTCGATCAAGTGTTCATGCTGTGTGTAATTTCCTATCGGTGAGGTAATCTCGTTGTTTGATAAGAACGTAACAAAAAGGATTCCGTTGTAATATATATTAGTAGGGAATAAATTCGTTTAGATTGGTGAATTTGTGTCCATATTTACCAGAAAAAATGAGGACAGTTTTTAGACACTTAATTACCTATCTACCTCTCAACCAAGTTGATGCAAGTGTTAACAACATTAACAACCCAACAGGTAGTGATATTGGGTATAAAATACATTCTCATATTACATGTCGTCCTCTCAGTTCACTTCACCGGTTATTGGGTTCTCTTTGTCGTGGTAGATTCTAGGTTGTCTGTTTAGACTTCTGCTTTTGATAATATATTAGGTTATTCACAAGGCACCAACAGAACGCTGTCCTCTCGAACTAAATACATGTATAAACTCCAAACATAATTGTTTTGAGCTACTAGCCAATCTATTGCTCCTCTGATCTTGGATACTAGGTCGATCGCTCATTTTCATCATGATTTTCACTACTCCTGTAGAGTTTCTGTATCTTATTGTTTTCCTGCCTTTTTATTGCCTATGTGTGCTATATTTATCCTCTGGTGTAAATTTAAATGTGTTGGTGTCGTTTTGATTTCCTAATGAGAAGTCCTAGCCACTTCCAGCATGTCCACTCTTACTGGTCAAGATATGTTCCAAATATGTCGTCATTTCCAACCTTTCACGTCGAAACAACATTGGCATTACATGTACCAAGTCTGTCAGACCTTTCACTCAGGTTACTTCCTTTCGTTTCTCAAAATTGACCATAGTTTCTAAACAAACATGTTAATCTGCATTCTTCATATTTCCATTTACCAACAACATGACTATCGTCTTGAGGTACGCGAATCGTGTTCAAGATGCTTGTTTTAGTAATGCTGAATAATACAATGTGTTGTGATACAGCCTAATGACTGATTTGAGCACTATTGGGGAATTTGACACCAATATATATGTAATAGTTAGCCTTTAATCATTATTAAGTAACAGGACATTGTGAAAGTACAATACTTGGTTCATGGTTCATGATGGTTGACGTCTTCGTAAGCATAGTATTGCTTCTGTTGACGCTTCTTCATAGTTGTTCACATATTTACAGGTTGTGCAGAGGACGCGTATACAACATATTAGTAGCACGATGGTAAAAACTTGATTGGATAGTTGACCCAATGTTTGTTGAGTCTAGATTTAAAAACATTTAAGATTGGGGAATCTTCCACTATTGTAGGGAGTTGATTCTAAATATTTACAATTCTATTTTTAAAAGCATGTACCCTAATGTTGGTCTTATACCGATGTTTTTTTCAGTTTATTTGCGTTCCCCCTCGTATTGAGGTTGTCGAAGGCAGGGATGATTTGTTGGTTGGTTATATCTATGGTGTTTATCGGCTTATAGATTTCTACATTGTCGGATCTTAGTCTTCTGTATTCAAGTGATGGTAGCCCTAGCCGACGAATACGCTCAGGGTACGAGAGATCTTTTAGGGATGGAACTAGTTTGGTTGCCCTTCTTCGAACATTCTCTAAGGAGAGTTGGTCTTTTTCAGTATAGGTGACCATGTGGTGACATTAATTTCAAGGTATGGACGTACCAAAGATTTATAAAGGTTGTCATATGTCAGTCCATTCGCATACCTTATTGATGTCGTTCTGGAGTGACATTCCATCCTCATTAGCTTTTGTTGGTTTGAAGAGTTTGACGTCGTCGGCAAACATTTTGATTTTATTGTCGAGTATTTAGAGGTGTGGCCGTGTATATTGGTTAGATTGATCTCTCATCATACATTGTAATCTATATTTACAGGACCTAAATAGATGTTAATAAATGGGTAGACTGATCAATTAGCAAGGCTGACTAATACAATGTGTTGTGATACAGCCTAATGACTGATTTGAGCATCCCCAATTTGCAGAATATTGCATTATTGGGGAATTTGACACCAATATATATGTGATAGTTAGCCTTTAATTATTATTAAGTAACAGGACATTGTGGAAGTACAATACTTGAGTAGTGTGGCCGTGTATATTGGTTAGATTGATCTCTCATCACTAGATATACATTGTAATCTATATTTACAGGACCTAAATAGATGTTAATAAATGGGTAGACTGATCAATTAGCAAGGCTGACTTATACAATGTGTTGTGATACAGCCTAATGACTGATTTGAGCACCCCTAATTTGCAGAATATTGCATTATCGGGGAATTTGACACTATATAGATATGACATTCATTAGCAGGTGACAGTGAATATTGTCAAGCCGAGAAAAACCATTGTCACCCGAGGCGAAGCCGAGGGTGACAATGGATTTTTGAGGGTTTACAATATTCACTGTCACCTGCTAATGAATGTCATATCTATTTTGTTACACCAAAAGTCTTTAAATAAATATTTATCTTAAAAAAAACCTTCTACACATCCATATGTAGCTCAGAAACGGCAGCAAGCCTCGATAATGACATCTTGTTTGTTGATAGTCAGCTGTTTACAATCGCTATCGCACCGGCGCTTCATGAAATTGGCTGTTGCCGTCAAACGTTCTTGTGACCATCACGGTGGGGAAACGAAGCGGTGAAAAATGGCCACTGTGAGTGAAGAACCCGGAACACACATTTTTCGCGCATGTGATATTTTTCTCTGTCTCATGGCAATATCACCCGCCTTCTTTAAAACCAAAGTATTTTCGGAGGGTGACAGAGATTTTTTGATTAATTTTCTCCCAACCAATCAAATAGCTAGAAATTCACTTGAGGTGTAACAATAATATATATGTAATAGTTAGCCTTTAATTATTATTAAGTAACAGGACACTGTGGAAGTACAATACTTGAGTAGTATGGCCGTGTACATATTGGTTAGATTGATCTCTCATCACTAGAAATACATTGTAGTCTATATTTACAGGACCTAAACAGATATTAATAAAATAGATAGACTAATCCTTTTTTGAGACCGGGGCTAGCATTACACAAAATGGAAAAACGTTTGAATGATTTTACCAAACTCAACTGAAAACAAGACTTAACGATGTTTTTTGAAAGAGTACTGTATTGTTGATGAGTCCTTCGTTCGGCTTTCTACATCGACAAACAAACAAACAAATGTTGAACATTTACATATGCTGGCGAAGTTGACAACATCTTTGCCCACCCTGACATTGCGTGTTCCTCGTACCTAGAGCAAACATTGATTAGAGCGAGGTTGTTACTGACGATAGTTCCACAGAATGGGTTTGAAATGGATACATTCCAAATGGCATGATGATGTCCAATCTCCACTCAACTTGTTATTAGACAAGGAGACTTAAACAAGCTTTATAGAACATGTTTATCAGTTTGTTAATCGTCTAAGCCTCTACTTAGGCTTCCTACTTAAGCTTGTTTCAATCGTTGTTCTATGCACCCTAATGCTGAAAAGTAAATTAATTAAAACGCTATTAGTCGATAACATTTGTCATTACAACACAACATCAGCAATATTGTGGTAATTTGATATGGATTAATAAACAAGAGGCCCATGGGCCTTAACGGTCACCTGAGTTATGTAAAAACTGATGTTATCGATGTTGACAAATGAAAAAGAAATCATTTTGCAAAAGAGGTAACTGGAACTACATGTGATGCAAAAGTAGTGTGAAAGATCTGGGTAGTATATGTACTATGTACAAATAGTGTTTCTGTCAGTCAGCTGAATTATGGCAAAGCCCCTTAAGACCCTTCCATCTTTGAAGAGTATTTGATTCTACCATATCTGGATCGCAATAGGTCACTTGAGACTTTTCAGGTGACCTAAAAACAGACTTGGATTATATACATCACTTCATCCCAATCACAGATCACTTGATTTTAAAGTCACCAGTACTCCACTGATATTTGAAATTCATAAATGAAGGGGTTTAACCCACCTGCCCCGCTGTTTTAACAATAGTTTAAATTATTTTTATTTCCAACTTTTTGGCCCCTAGCGTCACTGATGAGTCCTAGAAGGACGAAACAGCTGTATGATTCAGTGTCATTCATTTTTGGCATACTATATCCATTAGCTAATTGTAGAGGTGTAGTCACCTGTTTGTGAGAGTGTCACGTTCATCTTTCAAGATACAGGGTGAAAACTCTGCTGGTGGATTCTCTATTCCCCGACAAATCTGCAGGTCGGGGAGAAGAGTTAATCTGCTGTTAACAACTACATGTATCTTTAGACTAATGTGGGAACTCGGCACAATTTGGGATCTTCTTTTGAGCCCTATATTTGGTGACAC